CGGGTCATTCCTTTCTACCACTGGGGGTTCTGCTCGTCCAACCGTCCCACTGTAGTTACCTCCCTCCAAATGCCCTCCATTCACTTCAGGATCTTCCACTTGAAGTGACACTTCCTCATGATTCTGTTGGAGTAATCGCCTTGTCTCCTCCATTTGGCGATCCAACATCATCTGTATCATCGCTTGCACCCCAGCCATCATCATTGGCTCTGGTGCTGCTGCTAAAACAGGTGGTTGATTCCTGTCTTCGTTCACATTTCCAACTCCACTTCTGGTTCTTACCATTTTTTGATCTACACACCAAAGAAGGTGAATTCAGATCCTCAATCACGATAGATAATTAATTCATCCTTATCACTCTGAAATGTTTACATGCTAGTTCTAATATCGTAGTCGTACGCTTAGAATCCTAAACACATAAGGTCTCCAGATCCGGTCGGCAACAGACCATAGATCCGAACAAATAATAGCATCAATATAGCTATCACACAAAACATTTAGCACATAAAAGCATTTTAGGCATCATTCCTAAAATAAACTAGTGCTTATGTCAAATTAGGTGTACTACCTAACATATTTTAGACACACTCCTCACAATCATTACTTAGCATTCTAAGTTTAAGTCTAGAAATTTCCTACAATTTCCTAGTTCGCTTAAACTAATGCTCTGATACCAACTGTGACATCCCCATTTTCACGGCCAGAAAAGACCGATTTGTTTATGCTTGTTTTAAAATCAGAGTACTTTTTTAAAGAAAACAGTTGCGGAATTTGTTCCCAAAACAAAATATGAAAAAAATTATCAAAGCATTTCTTTAAAGAAATGTATTTTCATTGTATAACAAAATCTCGGGACGTCATGTTCCGATACATACATATAAGCATAAACAAAACTTACATTTAATTACACAATTGATTTATATCTCCTTTAAATCTCTCTGTGAAATATGTCTTCATATTAATACCTGTGATACAAAGAAAACTAAGTGGGTCAGGCTTGGGAGTCTGGTGAGCATATAGGGTTTTCATCCCACAATGTTATATCATATATTTATAAATATAGAACATTAAAACTTGTATAATTTCACCTTATAAAGGCAACTCTTATCCCACTTCCATCGATCCTCACAACGACACGATCTAAACTCTCGTATCTAAAGTTTTCCTCTTTACTCGATCCCTACTCACGGATGTAAAACTATTATCTTCACTCGATCCATACTCACGGATCTAAAACTAACTTTTTTCACCTGATCCATACTCACGGATCTAAAACTACTTGATCCATACTCACGGATCTAAAACTAACCTCCTGATCTGATCCATACTCCCGGATCAATAATTGTACCCAATCCATACTCCCGGAATAAGGAGATGATCGGACAGCACTACGACTTGTAGAAGTAGTATTCTTCGGTAGATCTGGAAGATCTTCACAAAAATCGGGCTCCTCGCGGGCAGAGCTTCAGCTCGGGAATCGCACTTCTTGGGATCTTCGGGGCCTCGGGACTTGCTTCGGGGCTCGGGAATGATACCGGGGCTTCGGGATATTTCTTGCACGAAAAACGATGCAAAAACGCCAGAAAACGGGAAGAAATGAGCAAAGAAGTCGGTTTCCCTCGACACCCTTTTATAGGGGGCTGGAAGCTCATTAACGCTGGGCGTAAATCTACATTACGTTGGGCGTAAATCTACATTACGCTGGGCGTAATGTGGATAAGCCCGGTGACTCCCCCCTTTGGATAATATCCGAATTTTTATTTAATTTAAATACTTTAATTATTTAATAAACTTCAAAAATTCATATCTTCCTCATACGAGCTCCGTTTTCAACGTTCTTTATATCCCCACGTAGGTGAGACCACGATCTACAACTTTCGTTTAGCCTCCGTCGGCTAATTTTGAATTTATTTTTATTATTTATTTTTAGTAGACCGGGACAGGAAAATTTCGTTATAAATTCATAACTTCTTCATCCGACGTCCGTTTTCGCCTATCTTTTTATCGTTTTACTACAATTAAGGAGATCTTTGATTCTCATTTAGATTGTTTCTGCTAAAAACCGCTCAGTCTCAAATCGAGTATTCGGGCTGCATACCGCTAAGTCGAAACTTCGAAAAATCATAACTTCCTCATACGAAGTCAGATTTGGGCGTTCTTTTGATGCACGCTCATGGTTTAACGAACTCTACGAATTTTGTTTATACTACTAAGGCTAAATATCATTCTAACGTAAATTCACTTTTTACGTCATTCAGCGTCGTGCCGGTTCTGTCGCGAAACTTCGACAGGTCATAACTTCTTCGTTATAACTCGGATTTTGGCGTTCTTTATATGTACGGAATCCTTGTAACATATACTATAACTTAGTTAAGATTATTCCTTCAAAATAATCTTCCATCAAAAAGTCATTTTTAACACTTAACGTCTCTAATTGACTAGCCTGGATCTACGGGCGTTACAAAATAGGCCATGTAACCTGCCTTCTGATCAACACAATGTATCTAAATGTCTCTTCTTCAACGTTTCTCCTTCTCCACATTGCAAGACCCACCCGACTCAGTGGTTGTCCTTCTCCTCTAAACCATCACTCCGAATCCCTCCCTAGGTCCCTAACAAAGAATACTGATGGGTTCGTGAAAAAACAAATGTCGTCTTCAATACCACGTTTCCCAACGTTTCCACCGCTTTCAGAAACAATGCATCGTTTCCCGATATCATCACATCTATTAAAATTTCCCTCCCCCACCCCTCCTCTCTCTTTCTTTCCTTCTCTTTGTCTTCCACTACCCGGTCATCCCGCCTTCTGTTTTTCCATTTACGTCTCCTTCATTCATCCTTTTAGGGTTCATTTGAGGTTGGGATTTTTATAATATTCTATTTCTTTGAATCAAAGAAAAAACTCGAACTATAATCATCTTTCACCATGAGATACACTCTTCAGCACTTCAAAGGTACAAGAACTAACTTTTGTTTTACTGCATAAACTCTAAATTGATTCCCACTTTCATTTTCAGATGGTGATTTTGGTGTAAATTCATAATCAGATTCGATTTTCTTCTGTTTTATGTATTTATTTTTTAAATAATATTTTAATGTCTTCGTTTGAAATTCCCACCTTTTGTTGATTTAATGTCATGGATATCCAAGTAATCTGAATAATTTTGAAGATGTCGACCCCTTTTGTTGTTTGCTGCCTTCTATTCATGTTTATGGGTGGTTGTTGGTCGATGTGCATTAAAATTTCAGGCGTGATTTTATGGAAAAAAAATGGTGGCTTATTTATCACCCATTTTGGATCATATGGAGTACGAGGCACAACACTGGTGGAACCCAAACTAAGAAGAGACTGACATGAAATTAAAATTTTTCAGACAATTGGAGGTACGTTTGTTTACTTTCTTGAAAAAATTATGTTTTTTGGATCATTCTTGATGAAAGTGATTATCTTTTTTCTTTGCCTAATATGCTTAATATTCTTTATGGGACATGGGCTTCTTAAATAATCAAATGAAGATGTCAAAGTGGCGGCTACAAAAGCTCTTAATGGAATATAGACGATGAGAGTAAACCATTTTATCATCATATTTTTACTAATAAATTACTACAGTTCATCAATTCACCACTTTTTGTTTCTAAAATATGGGGATTAATTGCTTGATTCCCTGACCCTAAAAAACCCAGACCAGGAGAAACATGATTTCTTGCATTGTATCTGTTAACAATAATTTACATTTGTACCTGAACTTTTTTCATCGAAGTATTATAATTTATAAACAATAATCAAGTATGCTAACACTAAAAGTTCCCACACCTTATAATTTATATTTGTCAATATTTCATGTTTCTTCATAAGAAAATGCATTATTAGTTTAATTTATTTCAAGGTGCATCTGACTTGAGTAGGAATAAAGGCAAGACTTTATTTTTACATCCTTTTGGAATGAATCATTCCTTTCATTCTGAGACTCCATCATAGAAAAGGTTGTGTTGTTGGTTGATCTGAGAGAGCCAATACGTAGCTGAGACACAACATTTAATCTCTTATGGCTTTTGTTAATAATCTAGAAACTTCTGTTAAAGGTGGTGGGAACAGAGTACCTTGTACAAGTTCAAAATGACCTTCCTGTTTTCCACAGAGGCACATCAACAAAATGTAAAACTTATAGGTTCTACTTTTATGTTAAGATTGTATCGTGGAAATAACTTATTCATATGATATTTTGTTATTGTTAATTTGTGAGTCAACCACCACTACTAGAAAAATAGCCTTTTACGACGCGCAATTAATGACACACACGGATAAAGGGCGCGCATTTGTGCGTGCCCTAAAAATTAATGTCAGTTTTCCAAAATTTGAAGGATAGAAGACACCCATTTTTGGCGTGCCCTTAAATTTGTGTTAGAAAAAAAAATACGGAGGGCACCTATCAAAAACTGTGTGTCGTGTAACTGTGTCGCTTTATATTTTTTTTAGGAAACACGCGTTTTTAGGGGGAAAAAATGAAATCCAAAAAATTAACCCTGCCTATTCATCCCAAAAATTGCCCGCCTCTTCGAATTAGGGCCTTCATCTTCATCCACAACTTCCTCAATTCCTCGATCCATAACCTCCACCAAAAACCTAATTCTTGGTTCCAACAAACTCGTACACTCTTAATTCGACCCTAATGAGCTGAGGATTTAGGGTTCTTACCTCCCAGTTATCAATTTGAGCTGATGATTTAGGGTTCCTAAATCCGACCCTAATTTTTTCTATCACACTCTCGTATTTCCATCTCATCCCTCTCGCGTGGATTTGCGCCTGGATTTGTTAGGGCTTGTTTCATCCATTCATTGCCTCCCTACCACAAGCGATCTTATAAATCTGCCTAATCGACCTCTTCAATCATCTTTTCTATATCTTCATATGGTAAGAGCTTCAAGATTTATCTCTTTCCCATCTAGTGAGCTCTTTTGTTTTTACTTGATTGTTGAGTTTGTTCTTGCTCGATTTTCACATGCTTCTTGGAATTTTGCCTGTCAATCGCTTTATTTGCCGTGAAGATACAAGCTCTTCAGATACTTTGGTCAAAGACATCACCGGCTCCCCTCCCGTCGCTGCGGTCGGTCTTCCTTCTCCTCGTTGCGGTCGATCTTCCTTCTCCTCGCCGCCGTTGCCACTGCTTCTTCCACCCTCGCCGGCGTCAGACCTTCTTTCTCCTTGCGAACATCCTTTTCTTCCTTCCCGTCGCTGGCATCCTGAACTTGTTTGGTAAGAGTTTTATGTTAGGGTTCAATTCATAATAGCCTTGCTGGAAATCAGGAAATGAAACTGCTAGCAGACGCTAATAAACCAGGAAGCCTTATCAACAACTACGTGACTCAGTTAAGTTGTATGTTGTCAAGCAAAGCAACAAATCTTGTGAGCCTCCAAGCCCGCCTCAGCAGGTTCCATCATCACCTCAAGGAGATTCTCAGCCATAAGAGGTTACCTCGTTAACACCCACACCCTACTCCAATTTACCTTGTAATCTCTCTCTCTCTCTCTCTCTTGTATGTGCAAAAAAGACGTAAATGTCCTCAACCATCATCATCCTGATCATTTTTATTGTAGGAATCGAACGAGAGTGGACTGTGATGTGAGTGTGGAGATTTGATTTCTTTTGGTTTTGGTTTTTGTTGGTTAAGTTTTGATTTGAATGAATGGTGTTTTTGTGAAGAAGTGGAAATAAACAAAGAAAAAAACACAAGGTATTGCTTGTTGCTCTGCAGGTTTGGTTTTTACTTTTTGTATATGTAATGCTTAATTACACCTTCGTACACCACGAAACTTATTATAATTATTATTTCATATTATGAATGGTGTTGCACATATAGAATACATTCCACTATTGACCAGTCAATTAGGTGTAGCCTTTTTTGATGATAAACTTAGTTCTCTTTGAATGCAATGGTTACAAGACAATGTTAGTTAAAAAAATATGGATTTGAGTAAATTACATTTTTGTTTTTGACAAGGTTAGGTACGTACTGCTCCTATAGTTGTATACACTTCCAGGAAAGGCTCATCTGCAGCTGGGCTTACTGCTTCTGTCATTTGTGATAACAACACTGTAACTTTCTTATCTTTTTACTTTTTTTATACAAATATTCTACAACACCCTTCCATATTAGGGCTGCCATACATGAAGCCATGGAAAAACAAACAATATCCATAACTAAAGCAGGAATAACAACAATTCTGAATTCCAGGACTTCTGTATTAGCTACAACAAACCCTCCATCAGGTCGTTATGATGATCTCAAAACTGCACAAGATAACATTGACTTACAAACTACAATTCTTTCAAGATTTGACCTCATCTTCATTGTCGAAGATATAAACATGTTCAGCCAAGACAAGGTATTTTTTATATATATTTATTTAATTATGTTTTTTATTACCCAATATATATATATATATATATATATATATATATATATATATATATATATATAATTATCCATATTGCTGCTAAATATATATATATATATATATATAATTATGTTTTTATTACCCTAAATATATATAATTATTTAATTATGTTGTAGATGGTAGAGAACTTGTACAGATTCTTCTTGTTGTTGGAGCTGAAGCTACTGCTCAAGACACGCAACATAGAGGTACAACTCTACATATTGCTGCTATGACTAATGATTTGGAGTTAGTTAAAGTAAGTTTATTTATTTATTTATTTATTTATTTATTTATTTATTTATTTATTTATTCTTCCATCAATTTCCTCAAGTGTGTTGACATTTTATGTACAGAAAGGCATGAATGAGTTGAATTAGTTGGACCATTAACTGCTGTTATGTTTGAACAGATTATTCCTTATGTTGGAGTTGATGTGAACATAAGGAATGTGCAAAAAACCATTCCTTTGCATGTGGCAGTGGCAAGAGGATCAAAATCATGTGTTGGAATGCTTCTTTCTACAGGTGGTCTGGTAGAAAAAGGCCTTCCCTTTCCTTTGCTGAGTATTTCCTCAATAGTTTCCTGCTTAGCATCGCCCTCTCCAAATCCATTGCCCTTGTGATTTTATTACCCATCACAATTTTCAACCCCATTTCGTGCAGAACTACCCACCCCACCCCTACCCCCTACCCACCCCCACCCCACCCTCTCCTGTAGATACAAACTCCAGTGTTACACATCTCTCAAGTGGTGAATCAGAATTGGAGTCTTCAGATGAGGTAACTAATTCCATTTTCATGTCATGTAATTATAATTATAATTTTACAAATACTTTATTTATACATTTTTAGGAAAATGTTGGAGGTAAGAGAAAGCATATAAAATGGGAATCCATAGTGGGTCCCGCTGTTGACAAAGATGTAGCACATGAAGTTGTTGGATTGAGAGCTACAACCTTAGGTCACTCTCTCTGGGAATCAGCAACCTGTACGCACAGAAATTACAGAGGCTGCAATGGAAAGGGTTCAGAAGTGAGTAATTTTATTATATTATTTCATTTTATATTTTTGTATCTTACTCTTTTTTTTTTGAATTAAATGTTAAAACATTGTTTCATAAATCAGATAAATTAGTAAAAGAATGATATATTGTATCATTGATTTTTTTTGCAGAAACTGTCACTTCTGATTACAGAAGCATATAGAGATGCCCATCAAAAGAGTGTCCAGGTTTGTATGATAATATAAAAGTACAATTTTACCCTTGGAGTAATATATTTTGAATTTGACCGTTTTACCCCTTTTTAGGCCATGAAAGCACGAATGGGCGATCTTGCACAGAGCTTAGGAATACCCCAAGGTTTGGGTGATCAGTTCAAGCAATAATTCAATCCCCATTTTGCCCTCATCCTTCAAAAAGCTGCAGTTTTGTAGACTTAACTGTGCCAAAAGGTCAATATTACCCCTCAAATTTTAATAATACTTGTAGCAGTTCATATAAGAAGAATTGTGGGGTAACACAAGTGACTTTTTTATTTTTATTTTTTATTTTTTTAGGTTTGTTATCGGGTATTCAGATAAAAAAAAGCAGTTTGTTGAATGAAGAAAAGAAAATGACATCCTAGTTTTTTCTAATTTTGACAGTCTACTTTCAAGGTATACCACAATTATAGTTTTTATTTTTATCTTTTATATTATGTTAAACATCTTTTTTTTTATGTCCTAATTACTCTTCTTCTTCTTCTTCTTCTTCTTCTTCAGAGTATCAAGTGATTCAAACATTGCTAGAAATTTAGCTGGTGTATTAGTTGAATCAGGACCTCAAAATCAAACCAATTTAACATGTAATATATACATGGTGGTGAAATGTAGTTACTGTAATATAGCAAGAAAATAGGAATTAGTGGAAAGCTTCCTGCAATGACATTTCTACCCCTTTGCAGCATCATCTCCAGATAAGAAGTTTCCTCAATCTGATTTTTCTCCTTACCAGAACAACAAATTTGAGTGGAATCCAACTGTATGTCATTATATGTATAGTAATTTTGTATTTTTTCTTCCTTGTTTTGCAGGGATCAGGTATTATGTGGGGACTTTATGAGTTTCATGTATTCTTGCACCCATACCCACATGTTACCTTGCTAGTGATTGCAACTACTCAAGTTTACAAGTCAATTGCATGACAAGTATGACACCTAAAGGAGTTAAGGAGCTAGAATCCAAAGGTGCAAACAACTACACAAAATGATCTTTTCTCAAACCCCTAGAGAAACTAGTTGTAAGAATATCTAAAAAGTTATTATATAACCAATTACTTATATAATAACGTTATTACAATTAAGATATTACCATGGAAAACGTATTAAAGACAAGAAAGTTTGAGAGATTGTAGGATATAAATTGCTAATAACGTTTATCTCCAAGCAATTACTTTTATTTTTTCTTCCTTGTTTTGCAGGGATCTGGTCTGATTAAGGTATGTTAAAGAGATTGTTTCTTCTGCAGTGGAGGTCGAAAGGTTGATGCTTTCCCATGATATTCTTTATCTTTATGACTTCATTTCCCCCTTTATTATCCTAGATTCATTTCTAGTAATCTCTTAAGTCTTAATACCCATTATTCGTTATGCTTGCAGAGATCTTGGGAGCCAATAAGATTATGTTGGATTGCATACTTTTGGTAGGAGATGCACTCCAGAAGGTGTTTGGGTTCGTTCCCCAATGCGATACCAAATATTGAACCTGTAGTAGTAGTCAAAAAATTTCTCAAAAAATCAATTTCTCATCACTTTTAATAAATAAATAAAAAAACAAGAGACTTACAGGCTCGGCTGCTTCTGGAAACATTTTCTTAAGCTGCACCATCGCAAACTTGGTAGCATCTTCCTTTGAAAGCGTCTCAAGATCATAAGCGAATCTCCCAGCAGCCATATAAACAAGAACAGGGTTGCCAGTTGCTTTGTGTAGATTAAGAAAATACCCACAAGAATACGATGTCGAGGCAACTGTACCCAATAACTCAACATTTGGCCAAAACACATGATCAAAATGTAAGGTGATCTTATTTTTATTCCCCATTCCAAGATCTAATATAGCAGAAACCTTTCAATCTGGTAACTTTGGCTCAAATTCAATTAAGTTTGCCTTTAATACCCCTATAGAAATTGTTACAATCACCGCATCTGCAACAAATGTTCTTCCACCATCAACTGTCACCATCATGTTTATGGGCCCATTCCATATCCTTGTAACCCTAATCAAAGTAAACAAACTTATGATATAGAATCATGAAATCATAGTTGTTGGAAAAAAATGGAATGTTTTTATAATATTAGTGGATTATTATATAATATAGTTTGGATTGCATACTTTTGGTAGGAGATCTTGTTCTTAATAATGGACTCAATGGTGAAGCTTCTAGAGAAGCTGTTCTTGAAGGAGTGAGGAAAAGGTTTATAGAGATGCACTCCAGAAGGTGTTGTTTTCTTAATGTTTTATGTTAAAGTATACTAGGTTTTGTTTAGAAGCTGTTCAATATTATCCATTGTTGTCCCTTTGAGTGTAGAAGCTGTTGGAGAGGAGACACATCAGAAAAACACAGAAGCAAGTGAAGTTCTTCCTGATGTTCCAATGGTTGAGGGACTGAATATTCAACAAGAAATGTCTTTTCAATCTAAAAGTAAAGATGCAGCTTTAGACGATGTAGTAACCAAAGCTATGAATGATGAACATACAAGAACCACATCAGATTCAAGTGAAGTTCTTCCTGGTGAGTGAATTTTCTGTAAAAAAAATCTAAGTATTATATAATACAATTTTATCTAAATTCTTTGAATTATAAGAATAAATAGTAATAAAACAATTATAATATATGTTGTCACAGGCTGCAAGAGATGTTGGAGCCCTTAGAGAACACAAGGACAAACTGGAGAAGTGAGTTGAAGAGCTGACATGGAGATTAGACTTTGAAAAGCATTTAAGGGTATATTTTTTTATATTTCTTGTATCTAATTAGTTTGTAAATTTTTGTTACAACTATTGATTTGTTTTATCTTTCCATGGAACGATTATTTGTATGACATTAAATTTTATGCAATGAATTGTATTTTTTATATGATATTTTATTTTCTATTATGAGACATTAAATACAAATTTAATTTGAAAATTAGTAAATCTATAAATAATATTTTTTTAAAACATTTAAAATTATGATACGCAAAAATGTGTGTCATCTTCATTTATGACATGGCCTTTCTTGACAGTGGCTTTCTTGATACGCATTGCGTGTCATTAACACGCGCGTCGTAAGGTTACGACACGCGAAAGCGTGTCGTCTTGCTTTATGACAGGGCCTTCCTTGATACGCATTGCGTGTCGTAAAAGCGCATTGTAACTGCGCGTCGTCTCTCTTTATGACAGGGCCTTCCTTGACGCGCATTTGCGCGTCGTCTGAGCCTTTTACGACGCGCAATGAGCGTCGTAAAAGGCTGTTTTTCTAGTAGTGCACAAAAAGTCAAACAAACTAACATGAGAATCTTTTATATAGTTTGCAAGTATTTTTAAATAAGAGAGTGATCAACATGCTCTGTTCAAGATCGTTAGAGACATAAATAACTTGATTGAGTTCACATTGAAGAACAAAGATATAATTGTAAAAACCGAACTAAAGGAGATTGCACAAATGCTACTCGCAGTTAGGCTTTCCGTTTCTAGAGGTGAAAGGGGATAAACAGAAACTTATGAATGAGGAACTACCCGGATCCAACATCATGACTTTGCAAAGTTGATAATGCCAGTAAAGATGGTAAATTCAGTTGTGTGAAATCCTTTATAGCTAAGCAGGTAGCAATTTACGTTGCCAAATAAATGTATTTTCTTTATTAACTTCTAAGATTTGGAATTTAGCTTATTATTAGTTAGCCGATATATAGTTGTAGCATTTTGATCGATGTATATTGCAGATTGCAAGACTAAAATGATAGACATAACTTCGATACTTTTTAAGGGATTGTAAGGAAAAGGGATTCCTTATCATCATCAATGGATTTTAATTTTTTTATAGGTGCGATTAAATATTTACATAAGCAGTAGGATAAAGTTGGGTTTTGTCGAGTGTAGTACACTAGAATTACCTGATTACTTCTTTCTTTGATTGATTTGTCATAAAAGTAAATTGATCCGAAACCGGTATTCAATTTCATTATCATATATAATTTTTTTTGCGACTATGACCATGTCATACTATTAACTATTGACATGGCATACTATTGATTATTGAAATGGTGATAATGGCATATAATTCGATAATGGAAATGAATATAATTTTCAGCTTTGCTAAATGTCTGGTACTTTGTACGAAGTTTCTTAACTCCTGCCCTCTCATCACTATCTTTCAGAATTCCCGTTAGTGAATGTTATCTAAGAGCATAACAACACCTTCCAATCAACCACATGATTTCTTTTAATTTTTCTATCAACTAACACTTGGTTTTTCTCTACACGGAGGTTTGTTTTTGTGTTTTCTTCTCCAACATAATACAAAATACAACATCGTATTTCCGTTTATTAAAGAGTTGCTCATAGCTGCGAAATAAGTACATAAAATTTCTTATTAGAACTGATATTTTGACAATCCATCCCACTTTAACATTGTGGTTTCGTTTCTTCATTATTATAACACTAAGTTTTTTAACATTCATTTTTTCTTATTAGGATATTGCACTTTAAAATATCTTACAAAATATAATATTTTACATTCATTTTTTAGATACCCAAAATACATTTCATCGGCCTTACTAAGCACGGGCCTAAAAAATTACCTAGTATATATATAGAGAGAGTTAAGTTCATGTGAGAACACATTTTAGAGTAAGAATATGAGAACAAATATAAACCAATTAATATATATAATTTATTAATTAAATTTTTTATCTAACTAAGGAAATTTTCGGCTAAGTATTTAATGACTAATTCAATGTTAATTTCCTATAATTACGCTAAATTAAATATTCTGTAATTTCCACAATAACAAACAATTCAATTAGAACTTGTCAAACCTATTATAATGTATCCATTTTCATCTTCAACGTTGGTTATTATTTTTTACCATGAAAATTATCTGTTGCCTTTTACAGCTTAATTATGTCTTTGGTTAATCATTAACGTTTTCATTTTAAAGGTATTTTGTCTAAATATGTATTTTTATTATAATACCCAATGAGTGATTACATTCATATATCTTATTCATTATAAAAAAAAAAAAAAAAAAAAAAACTTATTTGATCAGGAATGTTATGTACTTCATAATCAAATATTTTACCATACTTCTAATTCTCTTACATTCACCTTCAAATAAATGTTAGGCAACAAGTTTATTAGAAACCATTGTTTTTACTCAACATACTTTTATTAAACATGAAATTAAAGTATACAAATTAAATCCATTTACACTTGTTAATCAACAAACACATACCTTCAATACAGAATATTGTATGATTGAAGATTTTACCGACACAGAATCAACCTAAATTTTTGGAAATTTGTTGAAAATTTTGCCTATTCTTGCTAACCGAATTGAAAAATATTTGGGAAAATATTTATGGGAGTGATTATCGACTTATGTTTGACTTTTGCTAGAGTTCCCTTCTTTATCACAAATGTCATTTATATAATTACCTTATATGCGTATAAATTAGTGTGGAATATGTTTTTATACTTAAATCATTATAGAATATAACTTATGTCTGGTTCATTCATTTTAACCGTTAATTAAAAAAATGTAAGGGTTGCAATTTGTCCTCATATTCTCATTTTAAAATGTGTTCTCATAAGAACCCTCCCATATATATATATATATATATATATATATATATATATATATATATATATATATATATATATATATATATATATATATATATATGACTAGGTTATGTTGTTTCTTACATTTATTGTGTGCTAGAATGCACCAATAGAAATTTAGTAAATTAAATAATTATTTAATTAAATAAATATAGATATTAAATGATTTCCATAATTATATGTATATTAAATGATATCCATAATTATGATTCTCTTTTTATGGAAACTAATTAAATCTGTCATTAATGTCATTTCACAAATGTTTTTATATATGAGTTCATATTTTGTTTCAGGGTTCACTCACTTAAAATACAATAAAGTTTCATTGAATATGAAGAACGAGAGTGTATTATACTAAAATACACTCTTATTCTGCTGGAATATACTCTTATTCTTCTAGATATAAATTTATTCTAAAATAATATTATTGTTGACATTAATTACGAATTTTATTCGTTTTCATAAAAATGAGTTATAAGTATGGATAGCATTTAATATACATATATTTAATTAATACTAAATTTCTATTGGTGCATTCTAGCACACAATAGATGTGAAAAACATTTGAACCTACCTCCCTCTCTCTCTCTCTCTCTCTATATATATATATATATATATATATATATATATATATATGAAGTAGCTGTAAGACCCATGTATTACATGGGTTCGTTTTAAAAAAGAAAAAAAATATGAAATTGTAAATATATGAGAAGTTTGAATTTATAAGAGAAAAGTAGAAAAATATTGATTATTAAAATTAAACTATTTGTTTTTCTTTTAAATTAAATAAATAATTTAGATAAAAAAATAAAGGAAACTAATAAAACTTTAATTTAGAAAATTTGAAATTAGAAGGAAATCAATTAACAAATTGATATGCATTTATTATTGCATTTATTGAAATTATTACATTTAAATATTATATGGAAATTAATAAAATAAAAAAACCACAAAATGCCATGTGGAAAAAAAATAATTTAAAATAACCACAAAATGACATGTGGCAAAATCAATGAGAGTGTGACATGTGGCAAAATGTTCTTTATTCATTAGGAAATGATGATATAACATTGTGGGAATGAAATCTCTATGTACTCACCAAATTTCCCAACTTGACCCACTAAGTTTATTTGTATTACAAGTATCGATGTGAAGATACATTACACTGAGAGATTAAAGAAGGTGTAAATCGTTAGTATAAATGAATGTAAGGT